CTCCATCAATAAGATGACGTCTATTCCACTGAGAAACGTATGACTTGATCTCAGGACTGAGTCCGGATATATCTTTCCATTCTGGTCTTTTAGCAGATTCTTTCCAACCTATGATCTTTGAAAGAACCAGATCCTGCGACTGTGACTGTCGTATCTGTTCTGCATTTAATGGACTTGGCCAAGAGAATAATATATTGTCATTTGTGTTGGAAGATTTAGACTCCAATTTCTTTCGCTGTGTTCTTGTCAAAACCATAACATCATGCGAGGTATTCCTCTCTTTGGCCATTTTCCCAGTTAGCTCTTTTCGCTCACAATGAACACAATTTGCATTTCAATGTTTACTTCCGCTACGGTGCTCGATAACAAATTGGTACATACCTAGTGTCTCTAACCATCTTGCTATCTGGCCTTCCGGATGTTTGAAATTGAAAAGCCACTGTAGAGCACTATGATCTGTTCTAATTTTGAATCGTGCACCATAAACATAATGATGGAAGTGTTTCACTGCCTTCACTATCGCTAGTAATTCCCTTCTAGTTGCACAATAGTTCTGCTCAGTACGACTCAAGGCTGCAGAATAATAGGCAACTACGCATTCCTAGTCTCCATGTTTTTGAAATAATAAATCTTTAATCCATTAAGTTTGAACTATGCATCTGATGATAACTATGAATCAATGAATAATATCACAAACACCTTAACATCTCAGTGTAGTTATCATTCTCTCAACCAATTTAATAGCACTTTTAATTCATCTTCAAAAGAAGAATTAAGTCTCCTGAATATAAATTTACGGAGCTTCTTAACCAACCAATGGAAACTAGAAAACATGCTTAGCAACATTGACAAACAATTTTCAATAATTGGTTGCTCTGAAACTTGGTTGAAAGACCATAATGTCTCTCTTGCCAACATAGTCAATTACCAAGTAGAATTTGCCAATAGAAAAGTAAAAAGTGGTGGGGGTGTGTCATTCTTCATTTTAAAAGGTATAAAATATATCAGAAGAGATGACCTCAAATTGAATTCAAATCTATATGACTCGTTAACAGTTGAAATTATCAACGAAAAAAATAAAAATACATGTATACTTGTAACAATTATTTACAGGCCTCCGAATATTAATCTTAATGACTTCAATTCTGAACTCCATCAGTTAATGAGTAATTTAGCCAAGGAAAATAAAACATCCTACGTACTTGGTGATTTCAATTGTGATTTGCTAAAAACTAATTTGAATGATGCAACACAAGACTTTATTAACTTATTTTATTCCTTCAATTTCATACCACATATATATAGACCTACAAGAATAACAAATACCACAGCAACCCTAATTGACAATATTTTCACAAATGCCCCCAACATGTCAAAAGCAGGTATAATTCTTGAAGACATATCAGACCATCTACCAACTTATTCAATTTCTAGCACAAAAGTAAAAAAATATCAAACTACTACTTTCTCATTCAGACAAGTAAACTTAGCAAACAAAGATAAATTTTCATGTCTTATTAAAGCAATGACATGGGAAAAACTTCTAGAATCAAATGAAGTTAATGATGCATATGATTTGTTTGAGTCTGAAATATCATATGCCTACAACCTAGCATTTCCATTAAAAACTGTGAAAGTTAAATCTCTTAAAGACACCACAAGACCATGGCTCTCCAATGCTATAATAACTTCGGCCAAAGAAAAGAATAGATTGTATAACATATTCATAAATAATCCCAACCACAAGAATAAAACAGAATACAAGGCATATAATCATAAATTAAAGCATATCATTAGAATAGCAAAAAAGAAGTACTATGAAAATAGATTTAATCAGATAAATGGAAATATCAAGAAAACTTGGACTATTATAAATAAAGTACTTGGTAGGAAGAAATTCAATACAATTGACAATATTAAAATGATGATCGATGGGTCAATTACAGAAAATAAGCAAGCAATAGCTGATGGATTTAATAACTACTTTAAAAATGTTGGAAAAACATTAGCGGACAAAATAAACAAATCTTAAATGTCTTATATAAAAACATATATATAAACAAAATTAAAACAATTTGTTCAACCATATTTCTAAATCCTTACCAAAATGAACTTTTACAACACATATCAGAACTCAAAAACCACTCTGCTCCAGGATTAGACGAATTTAAACCAAATATCATTAAGTCAGTTGGTATACATCTAATTACTCCTCTACTTCATATTTTTAACATGTCCCTTAGTTTGGGGATCTTTCCCAACTCACTAAAAATATCAAAAGTAACACCAATCTTCAAGAAGGGGGACACCCATTTATTTTCAAACTGTAGACCAATCTCTGTACTATCCGTTTTTTCTAAATTACTTGAAAAATGTGTCCATTCAAGACTCATCAAATTCATTGAAAAATTTGAAATTTTATATAAACACCAATTTGGATTTCAGAAAAACAAATCTACATATATGGCCCTATTGACATTTATTGACAATATTTTCACAAATTCCCCCAACATGTCAAAAGCAGGCATAATTCTTGAAGACATATCAGACCATCTACCAACTTATTCAATTTCTAGCACAAAAGTACAATGACATGTACAAATCTAGTAACATTTTTGCAGACGACACAAACTTATTTATCTCACATAATGATATTAACAGTTTATTAAAAATGCAAACATTGAATTAGAAAAAATCGACGACTGGATAAGAGCAAATAAGCTATCACTGAATATTGACAAAACAAATTGGATATTATTTGGTAAAAGCAAAGACCTAAATTTCGACATTAAAATAAGACAACAAACTGTAAAGCAAGTGAGAACAATGTACTTTCTAGGCGTTGATCTAGGCGTTGATCTACTATTCCCTTATCCACTCTCATATAAACTATTGCAACTTGGTATGGGGAAATAACTAATTCAGAAACGCTTCACTCGACTAATACTAGATAAACACTACCTAGAACACACTGACCCTCTTTTTAAAGAATTAAAGATTCTAAACATTTTTGATATCAACAAACTCAATACAAGTATTTTTATGTACAAATATTCAAACAATAACAAAGTTATAACATCACTTCAAAGTAAACCTTTAGAAAAGAACAAATATCTACATAGCCATAATACACGCCAAAGGGAAAACTTTCATATTGATACTTCTGACAAATTCTCTATACACCATGGACCTTCCCTTTGGTCCACACTTGATGACACAATTAAACAAGCATATAACTTATCCCATTTCAAGAAATCTTATAAATCAAACCTTCTTTCAAGATATTAATGATAGCAGTTTAAATCAATCTCATTAGGCACATCATCACATTTAATTGTATTTTATTGTATCCCTGTAAATTGCATGTACATAGTGTCAGCCACTAGGGCTAGTTACCTTTTTATTGTATACTTTTTTTAAGTTCTTGATTAATACCAATATATGCCCTTTGGTGTCTCGGTATTTGTCATGCTGCATTTTTGTACATACTTTTTATAGAATTAATAATACTGCACCAACAGCCCATCTACTCGCATCAGTGTCCAAGATAAATTGAACGTCAGGTAAAGGATAAGAAAGAACACACGGTGGGAATTCACAAAAATGTATGTAACTTCCTTCAAAATTGAGATAGAAGCTTCAAGCATTTCAAGCATTTTAAGGCTCTTTTCTTCCTTTTTCACCATGGTCATATTTTCATTGGTTATGGGTGGGGGTGCAATCGCACTATCACACCCCCTCCTGGCTACGCCTATAACATTGTTGTATATGCTATTTTGCCCCAACAATGTTCAGAAAGATATTTTATTTCATTCTCAAGAAATGGTTAAAAAGGAACAAAAAACAATTCTACTAAAAAACATAAAAATGTTAACAAGAACAGTTATATAAAATATATATAAATAATTTTCGCATTAAATGTCAATCAGTCAACATTACATAAAGAACTATTTTTACAGAATGTTTTCAATAATTGGTTTAAGAGAAAACTATTGTTGAATTCAATTAATCATATCGATACCAATCCTTTGTAGAAAAAACATTGACAAATTATAGTTTTAAATGTGAAGAAAATGAGCTTTGACGGGGGTTTGGGAGGGGGGCTTTTCTCCTCCAGGAAAATTAATGAGATATTTTAAGCGTTCTGCGGCGTTTGAAGAAATGAAATTCCAACTAATATGGACCAATCAAAAGTAAATTGTTGGCCATTTTATCAGAATATTCAGGGGTTTCATTAGCAGCAGGTAACAGGGCGATTTTTACCAGTTGTTTTAAAAATATTGCCTGTTGTTTTCTATATAAAATATATGCATATATGATGCTACACCATTGGCTGCACCTCCTTGTCATTCGCTAGCTATGCCCCTACATAACCATATATTTGAGTCTACAGAATAGAAATAAGAGGATGGTTATTCAATTGACAGAAAATCTGTGATCCGACTGGTGTTTTTTTACTTGAATCCATGTCCGAGATCCAGTTTTTATTGACTACCTAAACGTTACATCAATAGTCCATTTTCTCCACTTGGTCACTCTTAGATTGAGCCAAGTATTGGATGATTGGAGGCAGTCGAATTTAGTTTTTAACTTGAAAAGTGTAATATTTGAGACCTCTGTATATTTTGTATGGCAATTAAGCCGCGATGTTCACATCTAATAGTTTGATTGACATGTTAGCGGTAATTTAAACAGCCTTTGAAGTGTCAATGTTTCGACAAGTTCCTGGGCTGGTTATATGCACTTTAAACATGCGCACACTTCATGGGGAAGGATCATTTTCTTTAAGCGCATTAGTCTCTTCCTAAATGATGTAGGATGCGTTTTCGTTATAACCTATATTTTCCATCTGATAATGAGAGGATCAATCTTGCCAAAGGGCAGAATGACTTTTTTCACCAACCATTTAATTTCTACTTATTTCAAAGTTTTCAACTAAATATTAGCTATTTTAAGGAAACCAAAAAAGCCCGTTTTAATATATCTGTTAGCACACTTACTGCTTCTGACATGAGCTGTAGTAATTTCTCTGGAAATTTCAGGCTGCTCAAGGATGGCAGCTTTTTTCCACGGCCATAACAGTTGAGTACAGGCTCTGCCTTTTCTGCATCATTATCATTGTTGACCAGATAATCTAAGAAGTCTTCATCTCGTCCTAGCCATTGTTTAGTAGGTACCCTAATGTCTGTACGCATCATTCTGGATACAGAATAGACAAAATTATCATATGATCTGTTAAATGAAGTCCTATGATTGGTCAGTTCTTGTGCTGTACCAAGCTGTATTGCTACTAAGATTGTCCCCATTGATCATCTCCATAGCAATACAGAAATATTGGTAGGGTTTGTAGAAAAAACTGGGTACCGGGTACCGGGTAGTAAATCCTCCATGCTGGGTTGGAACTTGGTACCCGGTCGAAAAAACTGGGTACCCAAAAAACGAAAAATACGAATAAGATTTGTTTTGAATTTACAAAAATGTATGTAACTTCCTTCAAAATTGAGCTAAAAGCTTCAAATAAAAAGCATTTTAAGGCTCTTTTCTTCATCTATCATCATGTTCATATTATCATTGGTTATGGGGGGGGGGGTGCGATCGCTATGCTATGACATTGTAAGACGTAACAATTTACACTTCAGTGGACGTTTCGTTGAAAATTGGGATAATTTAAATTATGATAAATTATCAAAATCTTACACGTTGCATCATGTAAATTAACACACGTCACCTTTTTGCTAAAGCAAGGACGTCCTTGGCTAAAGTAACGATAGCTTTTTACAGATTTTAATCATAATCAAAACAATTCACGTACCAACATACGAACTATTGAAAATAGATTAAGATTGATTTGTCATGTTTTTCAAATCCTCTTACAATGTCATAGGCGTAGCCAGGAAGGGGGTTCCTCATAACCAATGAAAATATGACCCTGATGATAGAGGAAGAAAAGAGCCTTAAAATGCTTTTTATTTGAAGCTTCTAGCTCAATTTTGAAGGAAGTTACATACATTTTTGTGAATTCAAAACAAATCTTACATGTTTTCTAAGGTTACCTGTATTTTACAGGCGAGCAAGCGACCCAGGCGGGCACTTTTATTTTTTTCATAGGGGTGGTAGGATCAAAAACACATTCCAAAATTAATTTATGGACTATCTTTGAGATTATGTTGTCATAACAAAAACATACTTGGGCCTTAGGCCTACCCTAATTAAAAGTATCCAAATTGTCCTTGAAAATAAGAAATTAAGTTTACTGAAGCAGGGTTTAAATTCTTGTCAATCATTTGTGACCTCACAGGCATGCTACTTAACCAACAACAAAACAAACAAGTATATGGTATCATTCAGTGCCTTACACTACTGATAGTATCAGGCTGGGGTATCAGGGCTAGGCAACTTTTTTCTCCAAGCAGATCTTGACAAAGAGTTTGCTGCATTATCTTGTTGGACCTATCTTGTTGTTGTCGTCTTCCAGTCAGGTTAAGGTGTCACTCCGGTAAATACACTACAGTGTTTTTTAATACTTTAAAAACGAAGCCATGCCAACTTCAATGGTGGGTAGGTTTAAGTGTATGCAATGTGGCCATTTGAGGTATGTCTGTAAAGTACTTTCTAAATGTGCCATTTTAAGAAAAAAATCGCAAGAATATAGTCCCGTTAACTGGAACTACTTTATGCGTTAATTTTCATCGGTGAAGCAGGGATTTTACCTAATAATGAGTCCCTATGTTGACGTAGTGATATTTAAAAATCGAAACGCAAACCCTATGTTAAATATAGTGTCAAGATGAAGGTTATGTATAGGGAACGGCAGAAATATAGTCATTGTATGGGCTAGTTCATTCGAAAATGGCGATATGTACCCCAGAACTTGAATTTTGTGATTTTTTCAATATTTTTCAATGATTTACCGTAGTGACACCTCAAGGACACTGGATTTTTAACTTCCGGTCAAGATTTTAATTACACTAAATTTAGGAACTTTTTTGTTCGGCTTTTTCAGGAAAGCAACAAACTTGGCACATTTGTAGAAACATATGATTTGAGTTGAAAATGATTTCAGGGCAAGGGGTTGGGGGTGGTCTTCATGGATTTTTTTACCTCTGACCCCCACCCCTATCAGGTGGGGAGGGGTAAATTATAAAAAATAAATAAAAATGGTTTTAAAGTATTTTTGTTTAAATGACTTCATTTGGTGATTGCTTTGAGCCTTGAAATGATGTAAAACTCATTTTAGAAGTGGTATTTAGTGAGGAAAATACATTTAAACCCAATTATCCAGGAAAAATTCATTATTTAAAGGGCCAAATATGGGACGTCGATTACTGTATTTCAAGAATGTGATGACTAATAGCCTTAAAAAAATTCACAGTAATAGAAGTATAAGTGTTTATTGCAGATAGAAAATATTGCTTTGATAGCTGATGTATTCTCAGAGAAAAAAAATATCGAAATTTCAATTTTTTGGTGCATTTGGCTCAGGGGTAACCTTATCTTACCTCAATAATTTTTAAGATAGTCAATGTATGCATCTCATATGAGCTCAGAATGGTGCTTCTAGTCTTGTTTTGTCATATTATTGCTAATTAGATGTACAAAAAAGATAGGAATCAAAAAAAAATTCAAATTTTCATTTTCGATTCTGAATGGCCAGGGGTAACCATATTGTACCTTAATAATTTTCAAAATATGTAATATATCCATCTCAAATGAGCTCAAAATGGTGCATCTAGTCTTGTTTTGTCATAATATTGCTAATTAGAAGTAAAAAAAAGATTGGAATTTTTTTTTAATCTAATTTTCATTTTCGCTTCTGAAGGGCCAGGGGCAACCATATTGTACCTTAATAATTTTTAAAATATGTAATATATCCATCTCAAATGAGCTCAATATGGTGCATCTAGTCTTTTTTAATCATATTAACCCTAATAAGATGTAGAAAAATGATTGATAATTCTTAAAACTCTAAATTTTCATTTAAGCTTCAGATAGTCCAGGGGTATAACCATATTTTAGCATAATAATTTTCAAGATATGTAATATATGCATCTCAAATGAGCTCAAAATGGTGCATATAGTCTTGTTTTATCATACCCCAAATAAGATGTAGAAAAATTATTGGACATTTCTTAAAAATCTGAATTTTCTATTTGACCATATTTTTAACATAATACTTACATATTATCACATATGCATCTAAAATGAGCTCAAAGTGGTTCATATACCAGAAGTCTTGTTATCATATTTCCCCTAATAATATATAAAAACATAATTTGACATTTCTAAATATCTAATATCTAAAAATCTAAATTTTATATTTGAGCTTTTGACAGCCCAGGGGTAACCATACTTATAATTTTCAATGTATGTTACATATATGCATCTCAAATGAGCTTGAAATGGTGTATATAATCTTGTTTTGTCATATCATTTCTAAGGAGATGGAAAAAATGATCAGATTTTGATTTAGCTTTTGACTGGTTATAGGTGGCCTCATTTTACCATAATAATTTTCAAGATATGTCACATTTGCAACTTAAATAAGCTCAAAATGGCATTTTGTCATATTCATATGTTCATATATTCATACTGAGATATAAAATGATAAATCAATGAAGTATTATATTAAGATATTAGGTTTAAGAACACTTGCATCACCTCTGGGTACACCTTCCATTCCTCCAAATCAGATGATTTAGAGTAGTAGTTAAATGCAGATGTGACATCGCATAGAATGATTGAATGAAAAATGGGGAGGACTAAACTTTGGTCATGGCCAATTGATTTTGCAATATCATGCACAGATAGTTATTGAATGGATTTTCTTTTACCAAATGCAATCCAAGATGTAGTGGGAACAAGAGGGAGCTGTCCTCCTTCCAGGCATCAACACTGAAACCCTCAAGAACATGGCAAGATGATAGTGACCAAGTAATGCAATGTCTTAGGCGCCATCAAGGATATTTCTCCATACGAGAGACTGCTTCAATCATTGCCTAACAATTGATTTTGATGTAGTAAAACTGAAAATGTCAATTTGGATTGCATATGGTAAGGGGAAATCCTTCCAATATCTGTAACCTGCCCACAATATTACAAGACCACTTGGCCATGACCAAAGTTTAGCCCTCCCAATTTTTCATGCAATCAATGAATTTGATATGTCACCTTTGCATTCTACTACTAATCTAAATCATCTGATTTGAAGGAATGGAAGGTGCATACCCAGAGCTATTGCAGTTGTTTTTAAACTTTGAATCTTTTTTTAGAAACATTGCAGTTGTAGTCATTTGTTATTCTGATGCATTCTAACCCACAGTTTCTATCACCACATGAATGTGGTTGGACTACTCCCACTGCTGATACTGAGGCCACAACATATGAAAATGTAGGTCCTATGAGGCGGATATCTGTATAATAACAAAAGATGTTGCATCCGAGGCATGCAAAAAACTTGTTTGATGTTTAAGGAGTGTTGAGGGAACATATGCAAATGTTTGAAATCATATCTCATTTGCTCTGGGCTATGTAGCCGTAGGGGAGACTGTCAGAATCTATAAATCCTGACCTGTTTGATTATGTTTTATGGATTTGGATTATATTTTCAAATGATTATACATAGAATCTTAACAATGCTACTACTCAGTACAAACTGGACTGTCAAACATTTTCAAATCTTAGAAAAGTGCTCGATAAAACTATAGTACAGTATTGAGCTAGTGGTACTAAAAAGGAATAAATGGATGTTGTGATTCTTTATATAAATAAATAAATGGATGTTGAGATTTTTTATAATTTTTTCTTATTTCAGAAGGAATAAATGGCAAAACTTGACTATAATCAACATTTTGAGCTCGTTTGAGTAACAAGTGTGATATATCTTTATTTAAATTATTACGGTAAAATGGCATCAAAAGCGAAGGCCGTAAGAATTAGATTCTTTGTTTTGCTTCCCCTTGCTTGCATGATTTTGACTAAATCAGAAAAAACAAACACATCCAAATAGCAACCACAAGGGTCTGAAAGTAACATAGCATTTCATTCAATCAGAATCAGACGAAATGGCGGATAAATTGATGTGCGTCAAAATTGACAGTGTTATTTATTACTTAGGCATACATTTTTTTATTTTTACCCTTGAATAATACCTATATTTAAATATATTGTATAAACGTATAGATCTGTGTTTGTATCACTGC